AAAATAAGATAGAGAACGCGTTTTCACTGTTTTGAGAAAATAAAAAAAAAGAAAATGGTTGGAAAACGACAAAGAGAACAGGGCCTAATTGTTCATATTTTATTTTTTCATTCTTCAGTGTCATTTGTCCATTTTCTAAGAGTTGGTAGTTTATAGTTTTTTGGATGATGGTACAAATACAAGATTATGTTGCTACAAGATGGTATATGGCTCCAGAGTTGGGTGGTTCATTTTTCTCAAAGGTATTATGCTAATGTTGCTACAAGATGGATTATGTTGCTACAAGATGGTATAGGGCTCCAGAGTTGATAGTTTTCTAATGTTGTATTGATTCAAAAATGTATTTAAGTTATGCTCAGGAAATCCAAATGTTGTAGTGATTCAATGTTGTATTGTATCACATTCTAATGTTGTATTGATTCAAAAATTTGTAATGAAATTATCAATTTTTATGCAATTCCAAAATTTGTTCACAAGGTGCCATTTTCAATTTTGTCGGTCAATTACCATATATAAATGTAAAAAAAAAAAAAGGCTACGGCAACGTTGAAATTTTTTTGTAAAAGGGTCTATCGCAACGTTTAAAAAATGCTGTAAAAGAGTTTTTCACAACGTTTAAAAAACTCTGCAAAATGGTCTATTGTAACGTTTAAAAAACGCTGCAAAATGGTTTTTCGCAACGTTTAAAAAACACTGCAAAAAGTCTTCCCTCGACCGCAACACTCGTTAAAATGCTGCAAAAGGTCTACCGTACCCTTTTTTGGCCGCTGCAAAATGTGTTTTTTGGTGTAGTGCCAAGCCTTGAATTGCAAATCCAATCCTTGAAAGTGAAGTGTCGAACATGCTAAGTCCTCAACAAATCAAATTCTTAACAAATCTCGAAATCCAGGATTCAAGCCACGTAACACCCCGTCTTCAAATATTCAAGTTATTAATTAGAGTATCTTGTAGCTATGCAGTTACAAGAAAATAACATACACTTGTAATTCTCAGAATTCAATTTGTAACGATTTTTGTATTTATACACAAAATTTGTCGTACAAATTTCTTAACACGCCTTGTGGGACCTGATAACCCAATAATAACTAACCAAGAGGGGCGTGAATTGGTTTTTGAAACTTTTTCGACACTTAGTCTCAAAACTATTTATAATACGAGTTACAAATAAGCAAGATGTAGCAAGATGAGAAGAGTGTGCAAATTCGATAGCTTAATTCAAGTATATGCAATTAAGGAAATATATCACGATGTAAATGGTTATGTAAGTAAATTGCAATAAGTAAAGATAACAAGCCAATTTAATGGGGTTCGATACACAAGGTATTCTACGTCCCCGTTACCAAGCTCTCCGTCATGAGCGAGGCCAAATTCACTAAAAGTGGTCACTTACAAACAAGAAGTACCGATCCTTAAGTGACTTACAACAAGGAACACTTATCCTTAGGTGACTTACAACAAGGTGCAACTAACCTTAATAACGATCGAGTTTTCACAAGGTTCTTGAAACCATAAAGATATGAAAGATAATTTTACAATTGAAACAACTCTCTTAACAATGATATAATCAAGTCAAGTATTTAGAAAGTTAGGATAACACATCAATAGATAGCAATTGTTTAAGTTCAAGTGTTTTATGTTGCAAAACTTTGATGAATGGTGAAATATTTTAGATCAATGTGCCAAAGTTTTCAACCAATAAATCTCTCTAAAAAAATAATATAAAGTTAAGTATAGAAAGAGATTTACACTTCAAATGAGTGTTGGCAAAGAAAAACTTTTGTCAATATAAGAAAATAGATGAGATGAAGTTTCTTTGCAAAAATGGAATCTTTGATAAAGTAGAAGAAGAACAAGTTTTCAATCAATCAAAAGATTCTTGTGATAAATGAATTGGATAAAACTTGAATAAACTCAATAATTTTCAATAAATAAGCTCTCTAAAATTCTCTTAGAAGTTGGTGTATTGAATGCAAAAGAGTTTGGTATTATAGAGCAAAACAGGCAGCTGCAGGAACTTTTAGCTGATGGATTTCGAAATGATACCTGCATAAGCTGGAAATCATAGCTACAAAAGATTGTAGCCTTATCTTCAACAGAGGGTGAATATATTGTAGCTACAGATGCAGTAAAAGAAGGTATTTGGCTGAAAAACTTGCCAAATGACATTGGTTTTTCTGATAAAAATGCTGTTATATTCTCTGATAGTCAATCTGCTATATATGTTAGTAGAAATCCCGTCTGTCATGATAGAACTAAACATATAGATGTTAATTCTCATTTTATAAGAGATGTTTTAGAAAAAGAAATCATGAAAATTGAAAAGATTTCAACTAACTGTAATCGTGCAGACATGGGGACTAAAATACTGCCTCTATACAAATTTAGGGATTGTTTGAATCTCGTAAATGTCATTACTGATTAGTGTTTATTTCAGGTACATAGAACAAATGAAGTTGAAGGAAGTGTTAACCTCCAGTCTGCTAAGAAACCCAAATTGCCAAATAAGGTGGAGATTGTTAAGTTTTATGCTTAACAATTTGGGCCCAATGATGTAGCCCACTATGATAATATTGTTGGCCCTATGATGAAACCCATATTTTATATGAAGAGTCTAGCCTATATTTGACTGCAACCCAGCAACTCATTCCTTAATATTTCAAAGGATAAGATGAAGCCACGTGGAAGGGTTGTGATCGTTAGATGCGTCTGATCAATTGTATTATTGCTTGACCTGTTCATTTGCCTTGGATTCGAGATTATTCTAGGGTTTTCTCTTCTCTTGCTCTATGTGTTCTCTCTCTCTAAAAACATTTGGTTTTCGCCTATAATCTCCATACTCTAGATCTTCTTGGTGAAATCTAGTGTTTGTAAGGGTGAGGTTTAGGCGTTTCTGTTCTTGTTGTGGGCTACTACCTTTAGGTCTGTGATTTCATGAGAGAAAATCTGGGTCTGAGAGCATTATCTTTCATGGATCTATTGAATTGTGATACTTTCTTTGATTAATTACTAGTTTTTAGTGGATTGGAGCGATAATCATTTCGGTGAATGCTCAACAGGTGATTAGCCCTATTTGGGTGAACATTCGAGCCTTAGGACGAAAAATCATTTGTGTTCGTTTTACATTCTACAATTATCTGTTAATACCAACAATAACCATACATTTCATATAATCAACAACGTATCATAGAAATCTATTAAAAGTTTATCAAAAGTTTTGTCAAACAATCCCTAAATGTAGTGAATCTCATAAAATGAAGGATTCAATTAACATGCAACTTACGAATGTGTGTGCGTGTGTGAGAAAGAGAGAAGTGTTTTCAATGAACTTTTGAATGGAAAAGGATAATTAATAGTAAAATGTCACGCTGGCTACTGCATGTTTTTGCTGGAGTGAAACAAAAGAAAAACATGTTCATTTTGTCTAATTCAATTTCCGTAGAAAACTCTTTTATTCCCTGTATTCACGTCTCCAATTAATCGTCAGTGTATTCCCCATGTGACTCCGTTACCCCCACCATTCGTGTAAAGATGTAAAGTTGGTTAAGTCATTCAAATATTTAACTTTTTTTTTTTAAAAAATATATTGTTTTCATGTAGATGTATATAATTCCAACACAGATGGTCTCTTGTAGAAATAGATGTCCATTCTTTGCTCAGTTAACGTGTTGTCATGGCCGTGATAGTGTAGAAAGTCCAACAAATTAAAAATTGGAATCTTCGACATGAACCGAAATTATCAATCTGTCTAAATTTGTATATGCATCAACGTCAATAGTAAATGGAGAAAGCAGATCATTGGTATCGATATCGAAAATGGGGTTGCTAGTGTAACAATTATTACCCAAATCGAAAAATTCTTCACTCTGTTCAAAATTTGTGGTACCAAAAATCGATAGACCATCATAATATATAATTGAATCAACCCTAAATCAAGATTGAAGGAGAAAAAAGATCCATATTGAATTTCATCTCGACATCAATCTTGCAAGCTAGAATTGTCAGTGAATTGCATCGCCCCCAACTGGTGGCTGCTCCTCTAGCCACTGCACCATTGGAATTCCATACAGTCTGTTGTCGAAATCATTTGACTAGCCACGCACTGTTCGATTGTTCAAGCCACCCAGCGCGCCTAACATTAGTTCTTACTAGGGCATCAAAGTGGCAATTTGTTGCCTCAACACTTGCGTCTGTTGTTGTTATTGCTTGATATCTTCTCGTCTCTGAATCTCTTCCACAAAAACTTCATAAGCTGTCAATTTTGATTTCAAAGGTATCATCATGTGACACAAACATCTAGTATGGAAAATATAACACCTTAATTTATCTAAATTCTTTGTTTCAATATATTATTTGGAATAATCCAATTTTATTTTTTTTTTTGTATTAATTTATATAAACAAATAAGAAATTACTACGTGTTAATAGTGTTTAAACTTCAAAAATCTATGACAAATATAAGGATAAAAACGCCATCTCACAAAATAAACACTAGGAATGTAATATAAACTAAAATGATGAAATTAAGGAAATAAAATATAGCACTTTATACTGCATCTACAAACATGTTGTGTTTGCATGTAACGGCACCATATAGACTAGACATAATATTAAACGAGATTTTAATTTATTTGTTAGTATCATCGAATATTATGTTGTTGGCCTACCATGATATTAGTTAAAGACCCAATACGGCCGTCAAGGGGTCTGTTATGCCTCTTCTAAAGAGGCTCCAGATCAAGGGGATGTTTACAGTTTTGGGGTCGTGCTTCTTGAGTAAGCAACTGGCGAGAGATCGACCAAGGGTTGATTCAAACATTGGCTCACAATTCTGAACATTAATATTTTAAAACCGTTTGACGTGTAGAGATTGAATTGAATATGGAGCCCACGATAATAAAAGTTAAAAGAAAACAGACTAGATATGTTTGACAGCTGGTATTATTCAATTTTTTTCCATAGCATAAAGTTATAGTTAGACAGCAATTCTTAACACAAGGCCACTATAAATTTGCCTTAACTACAGAAATAGGGCTCCTAACAGAGTGTGTAGATGACTTCCACAAAATATGTCCCTGAGCGTTTATGAGAGTAGTAGTGTCGGATGTGCTAAACGTAACTTCAAATTTCAGTTTCTGGTTCAACTCTGAGAATTGGAGACTACGAGGATTGACAACCACATTAACACCATGAGGAGGAAGAATATCCACGGTGTATGATGCATTGGCCTCACCAACATTAGTCACTGTCCTTGTGTACGTCTGGTTTGATAGTCCGAAGATGATCGAAAATGACGGATAGTTCAGTTCTCCTTCCGGTATACTTGATTCAGCTGAGCAATTCACTTTGCGTTGTAAAATCATGCTCATCTGCCGATTTGTGTATTTCAGACCACACAAATAGGGAACGTAGTCTCGAGGTTCAATGTCATAAATCAACCCAGGATCATTAGCCTTTGAAGGGTTGACATGACCAGAACCGACAGCAAAAATGTCCGCTGGAAGGAATCTCTCGTCTTCAATAGGAGCATTATTGAGATTCACAATATGAGCAGTAGTCATCATTGCTGACTTAATAGCGGCAGGAGACCAATCCGGGTGTGCACTCTTAAGCAATGCAGCAATACCACTCAGATGGGGACATGACATCGATGTCCCGAATAAAATGTTGAATGTATATTTTGCATTGACGATGTTTTCAACGGAGAAAGGCCATGCCGCAAGGATGTTCACACCGGGTCCAATGATGTCAGGCTTCAAAATTCCTGGGCTTGCTCGACTGGGACCTCTAGACGAAAAAAATGCCACCATTGGAGCATTTTTATCGCCAATTAGTGTTCCCTTGAACACTATTGTGGCTGTTGGTCTAGATGTCGAATGTATATATGTTAGTATCTTTTGGCTGCCCTCATAATTGACATTTGTTATTGGAAGAACGTAAGGGTAAGCAAGTGTACTAAATCCTTGGTCTTTTGTGTTCATAAGAACCATGGCTGCACCACCAGCGTTCTTCACCGCTTGTCCTTGAGCAATTCCGGTCGTCCTAGAATCTACTTCACAAAGGACTACTTTTCCTTTGACATCAATATTTTTTAACGATAAAGGAGTGCAATCTGATGTTGTAGAACCACTATAATTCAATCCTGGGTAAACAATGGGCAGTTGTTTTGGATGGAAATCATTGGGCTGAAATGCTGATTCTCCCTCAAGCTCCTCGTTGTTCCCTAGAACAACCACTGCAGCTAGTCTTCGATCAATGGTGCTTGCACCAACTGTGAGAATCCACGGAGCATCATTCAATAACGTAGCAGATGATGGACCATAATTTCCAGCAGCGCAACTCACGAAAATTCCCTTTTCCATCGCACTAAATGCACCAATGGCAATGTAGTCACGGTGAAAGGGATTGACCGAAACACCAAGCGAGAGGGAAAGCACGTTGACACCATCATCAATGGCAGTGTCCATTGCTGCCAACATGTCACTCTCGAGACAGAAAGACACATTGCTACAGACTTTGTAAATGGCCAAGTGAGCAAGGGGGGCGACTCCAACTGCAGTGCCATTAGCATTTCCAAAGACATTGGCACCTTTCACGAAATTTCCAGCAGCAGTGCTCGCAGTGTGTGTCCCGTGGCCATCAAAATCCAATGGGGTTCCATCACCACTTACGAAATTTCTTGCACCAATAATTTTGTTATTACATGCCATAAAGTTGAATTCACAATATCCTTTCCATGTAGCAGGTGGGGGAGGCATTCCTTCGTCATTAAATGACGGATGATCAGGCCGTATTCCAGAGTCTATCACACCAATGACTACACCTTTGCCATAATCAGACTCTTTCCAGAATCCCATATTTTGATTTAATCCCAAGAAGTCGGGACTATGAGTTGTTTGTAAGGACAGTACTCGTTCGGGTATGGCCGAGATGAATCCAGGTTTCTTCTCCATCTCTTTCACTTCATTAGTGGATAATCTAGCTGCAAAACCTCTCAGTACGTTGTTATAAGCATAGATCATGCGCGGACTGAGTGAAATTTTTGGCAGAAATGAATGGTACCAATTTTTGAAATCTTGTGACCGATTGAAATTTTGTGCATCATGTGGCCCAACATGAACAATGTACGTTTGTAATGGATCTCTTTGTTGGATGTCATTTGCAGCCAAGAAATTGTGAAAATTTTGAATGCAAATGAGAATGAACAGCAGATGGAAGCTCATATTTGCAGATACCCAAAATCAAAGATGAATGCTGTTGGTGTTTCATAGTGCTGCTATTTATAATAGAAGAGGAGGGGAGAAAAGAGTAAAACTGCACAACATATGATGAGGACCAGATCCCATTTTAAGTAGTTCTTTAATCATTTTATTTTTATTTTCATTTTTATAGATCAAGAATGTGAATTACATTTTGTTTGTTATTTTCATTTCCTTTTCATTTGTCATAAAACTATGAGCATGTAGTATAAAACTTCACTTACGGTGATCAGATTACTACATTCCTTGTAATTCGGTTACGTTTCAATACATTATTTTATTACAAAATTACAATAAGATAAAATTTAATGTTTCTTATAATGCTCAAATAAATAACATTTTCTATAAAATTAATTTTGATGCAATACGTATCATAAACTACTTATAATAAAATGGAAGTTATGCATTATTTTGTGGAGTTCCAACTTTTATTTTGAAATAAAAGTTAAACCCTCCATTATTAAGGCATGATAATTGAGTCGCACCACCGCTAGACATAAGGGGTTATAAGTAAAAATTATCAAATTGAAATCCTCTTTACGAACATGGATCAGTCAACGAAATGATTTGGTACTAAACTAAACCGTTGATTTTTTTCCCATAGAAATAACATGCAATCCATGCGAACGAAATTAAATTATTAGCTACTACACACTTAGTTGGGTTTTAATTTTAATAGGTAACATTAAAATTGTATTTGAACTTTATGCATTTTTTAATTTGTTAATTATTTGAAAACAAACAAGTCAACATAAATTGGATTTGAAAAAAAAAACTTGAAATTTTATAATTTAATTTATATTCTTGGGTTTTAAATTTTAAGATTGTGATATTTCTTTGATTTTGGCACCACTCTCCACATTTTTTCTTTCTTTTTTCATGCATTTACACTACGCAAGCTCTCTGCAAGAGTTAAAAACTATAATCATACTTCTTAATCATTCACTAAGTAAGATGTCAATTGTATTTCTTAACGCTTCAAACTCTCTACTAAAAGATGATTGAATAAAATTATTAAAAGTTGTTAAAATGCAATCAATTAAGTGATTTGACTTGCATAATATTATAAGAAAAAGAACACAATTTGACTTGCATGACGAAACTATTCCCAGTTCTATTATTAATTAAAGATAATATGAAAAAAGAACAAATGAAACGCTAATTAGTTTAATAATCAGACGATGCAAGACATTAATCAAAATAATTACCAACGCATGTAACTGAACATCAATTAATTT